CTCAGCCTCATGTCCACAAACAGGCTTGAAGGCTGTGGGTACCAATTCCAAATGAAGTCATACACATGGTCACTGAGACACCGACAGGGCTGGAGGAAGAAGATATGCACCACAAATTTAAATCTGGATCTATCCCTGGGTCTCCATGCCTACAGGCACTATAAGTTGATGTTCATTTTAAAATCCTGAAATTTTCTTGTGAACAGCACAGACTGCTTTGTATTTTTATGTGTACATCACATCAATTTATTACATGTAAACATTTATAATTTGCCACTATTTTCTCCTATATTGGCCTTTCTTTATTAAGAAAAATACATATACCAAGAATCTCAAAAGACCCTGAAAGCATCGGATGCCTTGCTCAACCCTGAGAGCTTCTCCCTCCCATCTCCCCAGAAAACTGCTTCCTTCATCAGTCTGTTGATGTCAGAAATGTCCTCTCAATAAAGAAATGAAATCACCTCCCCGCTAGTTCCACAGTGGTCTTGAGCCAGACCTCCAGAGCTGCCCGGAACAGGTGTGCACCCTCTGGCCCCTGCGTGCCTTTCAAGGATCCTCCCCTCACCTCACTCTCCCTATCATCAGACAGGCAGGCCAAGCCACAGGAGGAGCTCCAGTCTTGGCATCACTTGGAGCATCTCTGAGCTGTCACAGGACCATCCAAGATCTGCCTCAAGGGCTTAGGCAAGCACAGGATAGGAGGGTGGATGCTAAAGCAAGATATTTATCCCCGTATGAGGGGCAAACAGAGGATCTAGGTATCAGTCAATAGCGGCTTCAGCATGTGGTCCAGATTTCCAGAGATGCTGATTCTGGGTGTCTGGGGTGGGGACCTCCATCATCACTACCACCTCAGGTGACCACACTATGAGAAATTGGCTTAATCCAGTCCCTTGGAACATCTGCCCCACCCACCCACCTCCACCCCCCAGCAGATTGGCAGCTGGATGGCTCCCACATCAGGCAGCCAGAACACCTGGTGCAGCCCTCACCACCTTGGCGCCTGCTGTGGTTGGATTTATTACACACCCACATCGCATCCTATTGTGCTCTGGGAATGAGGGCTTCCACAGATGTGCTCTGTACTAGGCTTCAAGGGATTTGGGGGGGTGGAAATTTCATCTTCCCCAGCAAGGATACTTTCCCTCCTAGAAGGGGCCCAGCCTTTTTCCCTCGAGGAGAAATCTCTGAGTCGCAAAAGGAACAGGTCTGAGCCTAAGCTACCATCTCATCCTCATCCTCCCAGGGGTCAGCTCCATCCACAGTGGGTCACTTGTAGGAGGAACCCCCAAGCCTCAGATGCACTTATGAAAAGCACAGGGGCAGGCACTAACATCCAGGGAAGAGTAGCCACATGCACTGCCCAAGAGCCACAAGCAGGCAGGGCAAGGCTAAGATGCCTGCCTGGTCAGGCCACTAAGGCTCCAGCAGAGGAGGGGGACAAAGGCAGGAGAGAGCACAGAGCCACTACTAGCTCATAAGGTGCCTTTGTACACATTTGAAAAGCACACTTCTCTGGGCAGATGCAGTCCCACATCAGGGTGCGTGTCTTGGCGGGGGGTGGAGAGGCTATATTTTAGTTCCCATGTGCCCTGGATAGTCTTGTGCAGTAAACCACTGGAATAACTGTGACGGCCCTGCTCAGAGAGAGCAGCAAGAGGAGGAGACAGAAAGGAAGAAGAAAGGCCACCATGATCATTCAAGGCCCATCACAACTGCCCCCTACCCTCTTCCCACTGGCTCCACATTGCCGCCACAGTCATCCCCACCTCTCCCTTCTGTCTAGATTGTCTAGTCACATCCCAACCATCCTTCAAGGGCTTCTCGACTCCCCCTCTGCCAGGAAGCCTTCCCTTTGGGGGATGCACAATGCTCTTCAGATCTGCTCCCCTTAATGGGCCCTCAGTACTTCTCTTAGCCAGGAGCAGGTCACCTGTCTGTGGCCACGTGTCCCCTGCCCCAGGACTACAGGTCTGCCTGCTTCTCCACAGAGCACCTGGCACAGGGCAGCAGGTACTCACTGTGTCTTTATTGATTAATGGTGATGGGAAAACATGGAATGGGAGCTGAAAGGACTCCTGATCCTGGCCCTAATCTGACCACCAGTGATCCCTGGGGTAACCTGGAGAAAAGACGTCCCCATCTCCCGCCTCAGTTTCCCATGTATGAGGTGCAGTGGATGGATGAATAATCTCCAAGGGTTCTGCCGGCATTGAACCCTAGGCTTATGAGACTCAGAGCCCATGGCCCCCATCAGCCAGGTTTTCACCCTGTTCCCCACTCTCTAGCACAATGCTTGGTCCAAAACAGGCAAGCAATATGGTATATAGGTTGCCTCAGTCTCTACGCATTGGCAACCTGAGCATTTAACTTGGTGTCGTATTTAACAAACCACAGATGTCAAACCTGGCCAATTCAAGCAAAAAAGCCCTACTAGGAAAAGGCCTACTATGGGGTTTCTCCTGCAATCAGTGGGAAGGCTAGAGAACCAGGCTTGGAAAACAGGCTGGGGTGGGGGGTGGGCGGTGCAGAACCACAGCTGAAGGCAGGCCCAGAGAAGAGCTAGGTCAGGGCACCCACTGGCTCTAGGCCACCTCTTCCACCACTGGCCCTTCCAGGTTGCTGCCACGACACAGTGTACTCTGAACTGCCACTGGCTTAGAGTGTAAGTTCCAAGTGGGACATGCATTCGACCCCACTTAAGTCACTTGGCCATGCCCTAATTGCCAGGAATGGGGAGGAAGGTGCTCCTGTATTCAAATTCCTCAATAGGAAGGCTCTTCAGGTGCAAGGCAGCCAAGAAATGACAAATGGCCACTCCAATGACCCTGTTCCCCTGACCAAACAGATTCTCTCCTCCAGGAATTTGGAAAAGGAGCTGTAGTATACTAAATAGTGGCTCCCCAAAAGATATCTCCACCCAGAACCTCAGAATGTGAACTTATTTGGAATAAGGGTCTTGGCAGCTGCAATTAAGGTAAGGATTTCGAGATGAAAGCATCCTGGATTACGGTGAGCTCTAAATCCAATGACCAGTGTCCTTATAAGAGACAAAAAAGAAGACACAGGAAACACAGAGGAGAAAGAGGCAGAGATGGAAGTGGTGCAGCAACAAGCCAAGTAATGCCAAGGTTGCCAGGAGCCACCAGAAGCTAGGAGAAGCATGGAATGGATTCTCCCTGAGAGCCTCCAAAAACAGCCAACCCTTCTGATGCCTTGATTTCAGACTTCTAGCCTCCTGAACTAAGAATTGAGAGAATAAATTTCTGTTGTTTTAAGGCCCCTAGTTTGTGGTAATTTATTATGGCAGTCGCAGGAAAATAATCCAGGGGCCAAGCTCTGTCATCAAGTGGAGGCTGGTGGCAGTGTACTGGGACCGTGGGAAGCCAAAGCAGGAGGAGAAACAGAGGCAAGAAGCGGTGTGAGGACCCCGGGCTCCTGCAGACTCATATCAATGCCAGCAGCCCTTGGGCTCCTCGAGATGCCCAGGATCACCCAACAATTTCCCTTTCTTGCTTAGGCTGATTAAAGACACTTTTTGTGACTTCTAACAAACCTAGAGCCCTTATATATGGCCGAGTCCAGCCTTCCCTCTAGGTTGGGAGTACATGTGGGGTGCAGTGGGGGGAAGGGAGGGCTGGGTAGAGTCTACTGACCAGAAGACAAGCACTGGTCAGCCAGCCACAGAGGGCTCTGCCTCCAGACAGCACCCCTCCAGAAAGTGGACAGTGTCCCAGGCAGAGTCGGCACCGAGGACAGCAGGCCAGGCACCAGGCCTGAGGCCACCACCCAGATATCATGGGGAGGAGGCTGAAACTTTGCTGAAAGGTGTTCATTTTGATTTTTACCCCCCACCCCCATGATCTGGGGTTCCTTGGGGACTATTTTCCCCTAAGGACTAAGTTGGGGGGATCTGGGCTTCTATTGCTCCAGAGTGATCATTGGTGACCAGAGAAAAGTGACTCCTGACCGGCAGTGAAAACCTTCTGCTAGAATGGGCACCTTTACATCACTGAGGGGAAGAAGGGGACAGGAGCAGAGGGGCTCCGCTGAGTACCAGGAAAGCCCGGGCCCTCGCTGGCTCGCACTCGGAAGAAGCCTCAGAGGCTGCAAGCCCCGCTCCAAGGGATGCAGCGCAAAAGGCTCCTGAGTGGAGCGGATTCGCAGGCTTCTGTGACTTTTCAGAGTCTTCGGACAGGGTTGGGGGGGTTGGGAGGATTAGGAGGGTTCAGTGGAGACTCCATCCAATTGGGGAAATCATCCATTCGTTTACTTTCCGCACTGCCTCCCACACCCCCGCCCCCGGGTGAAGGTCCGCAGAGCCATTCTCCTATTTCTTCACCCACCCGGGCGAAGCAGGGGCGTTTATCTCTGCCCTCTGCTCTATGACCCTCACCTGGCCACTCTCTGGTCTATCTAGATAGGGTTTTCCCCGGGTTCTGAGGGCGCTGCATCTCGCAACCATTCATCGGGCACTGGGTTACAAAAGCGCCCTGCCCAGTGTCCCACGAACATGACCTCACATCATCCTCAACAGGGTAGACTTGTGCCCCATTTACGGATGGAGAAAGTGAAGTCAAATCACTTGCCCAAAGTCACCAGACAGCTCAGCAGCCGGAGAGAGGAAGAAAACCCAGGCTCGCAGCCGGCTCCAGGTTTCCGCAACTCGCTGAACCGCTCTCACTTTCCTGCCGGCGCCCCGCCTCCCCATCCCACCCCAGCGAGGGGCGCCCCGCCCGCCCCCGGAGGAGCGTGCCTCGGCAGCTAATCGCGGGACGCCCCCGCCTGGGTTTCACTGCTTGGAGACGCCCTGGCCGGCTCGGCCCAGAGACGGCTCCCGCGGCCGCGCGACGCCGCCGATTGGCCCGCGGTAATTACGGGCACGCTCCGGGAGGGGGAGGGGCGGGGGCGGCCCCCCGCGAGCATAAATTATGCAAATACCCGGGCGCCGCACGGGGCTGACCTGCCGCCTCGCTCCATTCACGGGAGCTGCCACGGGGGCGGCGGTGGCAAGAGAGGGGGGGCGCCCATTGTTGCGCCGGGTACTTAAGGGGTCCTGAGGCCGGTCGTGTGCCACACTCGGTACTCACACGAGCTGATCTGATAGCCGGCAAGATCACTCGGGAGACCAGCCGGGAGCGTGGCCTCTACAAGCGAGGCGAGAAAGCGAGGCTAAGTTCCCGGTGCGTCCCTGCGCCCTTCCAGGCCTTCGCGCCCGAAGCGGGCACAGAGTAGGCCCGGGCCGTTCGGAACGTAAGTGCGCCCCGGCGGCCCTACCCTCAGCCCAGGCTTCTGCCCTCTAAGCTCCATCTTATCCGTCCGTCGGTCCTGAACAAAGCAACGATGCCAGCCTCTCTGGACACACGCCTCTCGGACCTTGACTGCGCCAGCAGCAGCAGCAGCAGCGACCTCTCCGGCTTCCTCACCGACGAGGAAGACTGTGCCAGGCTCCAACCTCCAGGTTCCGCCTCGGGGCCGCCCGTGCCAGCCTGCAGGGGCGCTCCTGGGATTCCCGGGGCGTCTGATACTTCCCGGGCGCAGGACGACGAGCAGGAGAGGCGGCGGCGCAGGGGCCGCGCGCGGGTGCGTTCAGAGGCGCTGCTGCACTCGCTGCGCAGGAGCCGGCGCGTCAAGGCCAACGACCGCGAGCGCAACCGCATGCACAACTTGAACGCGGCGCTGGACGCGCTGCGCAGCGTGCTGCCCTCCTTCCCCGACGACACCAAGCTCACCAAGATCGAGACGCTGCGCTTTGCCTACAACTACATCTGGGCTCTGGCGGAGACCCTGCGCCTGGCAGACCAGGGGCTGCCCGGGGGCGGTGCCCGGGAGCGCCTCCTGCCGCCGCAGTGTGCCCCCTGCCTGCCCGGGCCCCCAAGCCCCGCCAGCGACTCCGAGTCCTGGGGCTCCGGTGCTGCCTCCTCTCCCTGCACCGCCGCCGCCTCGCCACTCTCTGACCCCAGTAGCCCCGCAGCCTCCGAAGATTTCGCCTACGGCCCCGGCGACCCCCTTTTCTCCTTCCCTGGCCTGCCCAAGGATTTGCTCCACACGACACCCTGTTTCATCCCTTACCAGTAGGCCCTTTTTAGACACCGTTACCTTCTCCCGCCTCCAGGCAACAGGCAGTAGATGGGGCCCCAGCTGCGGCCTCCGGACCCCCAGTCCAGGCGGAGAGAGGAAGCAGGAGCATTCAAGGGGCGGGGGATACCTGAGCCGCTTACTACGTCGGTGCACCCTCGCCGTAGCTGCCCCTTGGTCTATTCCTCCAGCCCTCAGCCCCGGGCCCCTCCTGCCCGCCCCTAGACGGCCTTCCCTTTTGCACTTTCTGAACTCCACAAAACCTCCTTTGTGGCTGGCTCAGAGCTGACCCCAGCCACCATTTCAGTGTGATTTAGAAAAGGGACAGATCAGCCCCTGAAGACGAGGTGAAAAGTCAATTTTACAATTTGTAGAACTCTAATGAAGAAAAACGAGCATGAAAATTCGGTTTGAGCCGGCTGACAATACAATGAAAAGGCTTAAAAAGGAGAGACAAGGAGTGGGCTTCATGCATTATGGATCCCGACCCCCACCACTGCAGGGTTGCTCGAGGAAGAACCCGAGACTCTTGCGTAGCTATTCAGGCACTGGGCTGGAGAGTACTTTAATTTATTCAAGATGCTTCATTCATATGAAAATGTATTTTTGTACATAAAGAGTTTATTCTATTATTATGAGCTATCAAAGTTTACATTTTTGTACTGCAGATGTTTCATGTAAATAAACTAAAAACAATGTCACCAAGTTTCTTGCCTAATGTTGATGACTCTCTGGGGCTTTTCTTCCCTCCTGCTGGCGGCTCAACCACGAAAGTGAAACGCTATCCCCAACCACCTCTGAACACTCCAGCCCCATTTCAAAAACAATTAACAAATAAAATGCACCTGATTTCCACCAAGAAACAGATAAAGACAGACAAGGGTGTTGGGGATCCATCATTTCCTTTCACCTTGTAAACACAAGGGAGATCTTTCAGGCTCCCCATAAGCCAATTAAGACTTTTTAGTGGGGAATTAGCCCCGGATATGCAGCTACCTGTAGAGGTGGTGGCAGTGGGCGAGTCTTTCTTTTGAGGAACTCCACATCAGCTGGCTCTGTGTTTCAAAGAGAGGGGATTAAAAAGATCAATACAGTGTGACCACTGGCTAGGAAGTCCCAGTGACAGGTGGTCCCAGGCTGGGCAAGCAGAAAGGTCCACTCTTATAACAGCCTATTTAAAGGGGGAAATTGATTTGTAAACAATGCCTCCAAATTGTTGTCCATTGAGCCTGAGATCACCCTGGCTGTGAGGTGTGGGATGAATTACTCTGGTGAGGTGTCCCTGGGCGGGGTGTGCAGCTGCTAAAATTGCGAGTTAGGATGTGCCTGCACCTCACGCTCACACCACACACACACACACACACAAACACACGCTGTGCCCACAGTGAAGGGAGAGAGGGACATGAGGTGAGCTCCGTCCTGGCTCGCTCAGCCAGTCCTCAGGGGCAACACTGAAAGCTTTCATTTGCTGCCAGGGAAACCAGCCGCCCAAACACAGTGGGGATTTTTCTGGCTGCAGCATGTTTGTTGTCTGACAATTAGCTAACAGCTCCGCCAGTGGTGGCTTTTGTTTTAAATTTCAGAATGCGGATCATTACAAGAGATAGTTCCTAAAATGCTCTTGCTGCCTCTTTTCCTAACTCACAAGTTACCCCACATTAAGACCAGTTTTTTTCTCACTCGCTTGCCCCTTTTCATGAATATAATTATTTAGCAGGAGGAAGTGGAAATGAGTTCAGGAAAACAGTATTCTGTAGTGTTAGAGAAACCGTATCCATTTAGGAGGTGATTAAAAGCAGAGGGCCAGAAGTACGACCACTCATAGCATGTTCCTCTTGTGGAAGTGTATTCCCTCCCCACACATGTGTCCTGACAAGCTGGATCCACAGTTTCATAAGCTGGGTCCCCAGCAGGCATCGCTAAGCCCAGCCATGGGCAAGGAGCCTCTTTCAGATAAAAAGGCTCCTTTTCTGAAGTTTCTGGAGAGTTGTATGCCTTATCTAACTGCCTTCAGAGCACAGAGTCCTCCAAGAAAAGCTTCAGAAGTTGCCAGGGCTCAGAAGGGAGTTGCTTCTGCTAAAAGCTCCAGGGAAAAAGTTGTGTCTCTTGAATGACCCTGCCCGGGCCCCGCTCCATTGTCTGTCTCAGAATTAATTCACTCTACTGGCTTTGCATTTTCCTACAGCAAAAGACGCAAATGGTCTGCATCAGATTTTCTGCTCTCTCGTACATAGGATGCTTGAAGTGACTCCCTCCAGCTTTCTGAGGGGCTCAGGCTGAGTCTGCAAGAAGGGCAGGTCCCCTGTGGAGACTCTGCTCAGACATGGTATGGGTGCACTTGTCTCACCCAGAGGAAGAGAGCAGCCAATTATGGTTATCATTGTCCAAAATCCTTGGGAAAACTACCAGCAAACAAACCCCCCCAATGCCCCAGCGCTCGTGGAGCTTCCGGAGCTCTTGGCTGCGGTAGGAGCTTTGCCTGGAGCAACTGCATGCAGCCGGCGCTGAAAACGAGAAACATCACCACCCCCAAGACGGAGGAAAAGCAAACCATATTCCCAACTCTGCTGCCAAAATAGGCTCACAACTCAAGGTGCAGGGCCCAGGGCATCTTCTGTCTAAAGAAACATCTTTAACAATGATTGCCAGGCGGCATCTCCACCCCTGCCAGTTAATACTGTTCTTCCAAAGAAGTAAGCATATATGTGATATGTGTGGCCTTGGAGCTCTCAAATGGGAGAAAAGAAGGAAGGTGATTGAAAATGCTTATCCCCAGAAAGAGGCTTCTTCCTCCCTGCAACACACTCTGGTTCATCCACTGGCGTCTGTGAAGGCAGGCTGAGGGTTACTAGAGTATTCTAATCAATTATAGGGCGTGGAACGTCCCACTGACAGCCATGTTCCACCGCCACAGAATCTGCCACTGAGGAATCGTCAGGCACTTAGGAAGCCTTGTTTATTCTCTCCCTTGATCTCTCCATTTGCTTCTGTCCTGGTGTAACATGTCTACTTTTACACACTGCCTCCAAGCCTTTGAGAAACCAGGCCAGGGAAGACTGAGATGGTGTAGTAAAAGGAAGCATTTCACTCGTTCTCTCATTTCTGTAATGACTCTTTATTCTGCTCCTGCTGTGTGCCGAGCACCTTCTAGGCACTGGGGTGACCAAGACAAAGTCCTTGTTCAAAAGGACCTTACATGCTAGTGAGAAAAGACAAAATAAACTTATGACAGATGGTGGTCAATGCTGAGGAGAAAAAAATAAAGTAAAATAAGGACTATGGAATGCCTGGGTGGGAGAGAGGGTGCTCTTTTAGAAAAGGTGGTCAGGGAAGGACAGTTAATGAGAGGATATTTGAGCAGAGGCTCAGAGGCGGAGAGGGATGGAGCAGCCATGGTAGTATCCGTGGGGAAGCAGCCCAGGGAGAAGGCACTGTGAGGGGACAGCCCTGGCCACGTACCGTGTATTAGAGGGACAGGGATGAGGCTGGTATGACTGGAGCATGGGGCATAAGGGGGGCAGGATGGAGACAGATGGGGGCAGTACAAATCATGATTTTTTTTTTCTGCAGGTAATTGAAGGGTTGAAAGCAGAGGAGTGATGTGAACTGACTTATATTTGTAAATCCACACTGGTTGTTATAGAGATGGCAGGCTTTATGGGCCAGGGCAGAAGCAGAGACCCAGCTAAGCATCTGCACGTTGGTCCTGAAGAAAGGCTTACATTGGTAGAAGGGGTGAAGAGTGGCCAGAACCAGGACAATTTTGAAGAAGGAAACAATAGGATTTGTTTTGGGTGTGAAACAGAGACATCAAGGAAGACTTCAGGGATTTGGGTCAGGAGCAGTGAGCACACAGAACCCATCCCCAAAACCCCTCTACAAATGGCTAATTTTGCCTGAAACTGCTCATTTTAGCACCCAAAGCAAAGACGGAAACATAAGTTGGAGTGTACAAAAGATAAAGACAGATTGCTACTCAAGAGAACTGTAACTTTTTCTGGGCATGGGGCCTACAAGAAATGCCTCAGAGAAAATTCCTAATAGGGGTAGAGAGAACGGGCTCATGATGTCACGGGCAACGTCCTCAATAACATCATCCTCTTAACATCATCATCCTAGCTAACACTTATACAGCTCTTACTCTGTGTTCTATGCCCTGTTCTAAACACACTACACATATTAATTCATTTAATTCTCACAACCCATGAGGTTGATAATATCATTATCTCCATTGTATAGATGAGAGAACTGATGCATAGAGAAGTCAAATTACTTTCCTAAGACCACACAGCTAGTAAGTCATGAAGCTGGGATTTGAACCCAGACAATCTGGCTCCAGTGTTCCTGCTGCTTCTCAGATTGTCTCTCAAGGAATGAAAATGAAGTACAGCCAAGCAAAAAACATCATGGGCCACAAGCTTAGCTTTCTGAGGCCCAGCCTGACCCAGGAGTAAGCTTAATCGTAGCTACAGGCAGGGCCGCAGCTGCCATGTGGGGCTTTTGGCTGAATGAAGAAAAACCTCCTTCCCCCAACTCCTCCTGGTGCACCAGCCCTGTGACCGGGTGCACAGAGGGTGCATGGAGTTTCCCCTCCGCACCCCGCCCCCACTCCTGTGGGAGCCATGGACGGGGCACAATCTGTACAAACTTATCTAGTCCTGCCTAGAGGCAAGGCTGAGTCACTCAATTGTGCCTGTTCCTCACTGAGGTGGACATAGCCTGCAGAGGGTTGGGGGTGAGTTTTCTGGCAAGGACTGGGGTGTCACTACTTCAGTTTGCAAGACCAGCAGGGCTAAGAGCCTGGTGGCTTCCTCTTGTGAAAAATCAGTCTCTTCACCATTCATATCTGGCTACAAACGCCCCCACATCTTACCAAGGCCTAGACTCCCTTTAGAAAATATTTCCGGGGTTGCTCCAACCTCTACCAATCAGGGAATCGAGGCTCCAAAGTTCCATACCAAAGAGCCTAATGGTGAAGACTGGAGCCTAGAAGTGCTCCTGCCAACTTTCACCAATCGCCTGCATCCCCCACAAACCGAGAATAAGCCCAGGGTACCTCTAACTGTAGGAGCTGTCACTTCCTGAGATGGCTCAGGACAAACACTCGTCCCCAGCACTGACTGACCTTACCTTCTCCCCACTGGTCTGGTGGCCAGGAGCCAGGCAACCCTGGAGGCAAGATGCCAAAACTGGACGTTGGGGTTTCAGATGGCTGAGCTTACACCATCCTTTCTGACAGTGATTAGATGCCAGTACTGGTTGCCTGCCAAGGTCACTCTCTTGTTCAGGTGAAGCCCACTGTGCCATTGACCAATACGTCTTCTCCAGCCTTGAGAATTAGGGACAACGTGCGCCTGACTTATGCCAAGTTGGTCTCAAGACATTGAGATACAAGCAAAAGATGGGAGTCAGAGGACACCATTGCTTTGTCAACTCAAATTTGATCTTTGCTCTATCTAAAGAACTATACTTGACCCCTAATAATATGCTGCTTGGTCTACTAGGTTAAACTCACCCTAACACAACCTGGGTACCAACTTTGTACCCAGAATGTGAGCTTGGTAGATTGTACTGTTTGTTCACAATTGTTGGTTCCCTCCCCATCTTCATCATGCTCTCCTGTAAGTCAATGGTTCTTCCATCCTATTGACTTTGGGCTTGGCCATGCAACAGGCTTTGGCCAACG